AAAAGAAAAGATAACTTTATGAAATATACGATTGATGAATTCTGATTAATGAGGACAATGAAGTTAAAAACTCTACAAAAATACAGAGTGATGTATATATATACAAAAGGCAAGAATATCGTATTCAAAAGTACCTTACCCCTCATTATAACAGTCAGAAAATGTTTACTGAAGTCGCTTTCATAACGATATTAGACTCTAACACTGGTGGTTATAAGTTATATCATAACTTATATTGTAACACAGTATTGTGGATGTTATTATAAGGTCGTCAAGAAATTAATGTCGCATTTTGGAATACTTTCATTAACCACCCCCAAAAAACGTACACTACATATAATAGTTAAACGAACCGCCCAAACGTCAAGTTAGTGTAGCCTATATAATGTGTAAAATTTAGTATACTCTAATTTCTTATAGTGATGACACACGACCAGACACACATTCGGCATGTAATGTTGTTTGAATGCAAGAAGGTAAACAACGCCTCTGTCTGAATATCAAAGAAGTTTATGGAAATGTTTTGAACGTTCGTAAGTGTCAACGATGGTTCAGTAAATTCCGTTCAGGTGACTTTAGCCTTAAAAACTGTGATGACAGGGGCCGACATGTTGGAATTGATATTGATGCTCTGAAGACGCTTGATGAGTCTAACCCAAGGCAACACAGTGTCAAGTGGCCCTGAAATTCATGTATCTCGTGAAACAATACGCAAACATCTAAGGAATATGGGAAAACTTCATAAAGGTGTTTGGGTACTTCACGAACTCTCCAATGATCATCGTTTCCAATGTGTGAACGTTGCTTCGTCTCTTCTGGTGCATAATGCGCGTGAACCATTTTTGGACAGAATTGTCACCGGTGATGAAAAATGGATTATCTATGCGAATATTAAACGCCAAAAACTATGGCTCAGTCCTAGACAAAAACCACTTCCGACCCCAAAACCTGAACTCCATCCGCAGAGAGTGATGCTTTGCATTTGGTGGGACATCAAAGGAGTAATTCATTTCGAACTCCTCAATCCACAGCGAACTGTCAATTCAGAGATCTATAGTCAGCAACTGGAACGTTTAAATCAAGCCATTCATCAGAAACGCCCTTCACTCGTCAATCGAAAAGGTGTTCTTCTTCTCCACGACAATGCATGTCCACATGTGGCACGTTTGACGCAACACAAAATTATGGAGTTGGGTTGGGAAGTTCTCCTCCATCCACCATATTCT